TCTGCCCCTCCCCCGTTCATGCTCTGTCTCTCTCTGTCCCAAAAATAAATAATAACGTTGAAAAAAAAAATTAAAAAAAAAAAAATAAAAAGTCAGTACAGAATATGTAAGAAAATCAACTACCTGAGGATATCTCAATTTTACTGTTTAAGATTCTTTGTGTGCGAGTTATAGAAATCAACCCTAGCCAGAGACAAGAGGTATCACAGGGACACAGGCATTCTCCGCCCGCGTGCAGCTGGGTTTCAGGACACCCAGAACACCTGGGGCCTCTCTCCAGCTCCCATCTCTGCTTCGCTTTTGCAGATCAGCAGTCTCTGGTTCTCATACCTGCATGATGGAATGTGGCCGCTCCACAGTTCTTGGGGTCACAGTTCACTTAGATACTCTAAGTATCTAACTTGCTTTTCTTGCCACAGTCCTAAAAATCCCCGAAGAGAACCGGACTGGCCCCATTCAGGTCAGTTGTCCATCCTTGGTTCATTCCACCAGCTACAGGGGTGGAGTCAGGTAGGCATGGCCTCTGGAAGCCCACACTCGGGACTGGGGCAGGTCTCAGAGAAGCAAGGACCACTGTGAGCCAGCAGACTCCAAATCAATAGCCTGATAAGTACTAGAATAAGACCAGTGCCCGAGAGCATCTAGGGTAGCAGTTGCTACATGGAGCAAAACATGTGGGGAGGTCAATTCTGAAGTCCAAGTAAGTTTTCAGTGTTCTGCCTATGACATATTTCAGGGGAGAGTATCTATAGATTTCATCAATACTGAAGGGGTTTATAAACTTCTGCATTAACACCCTTTAATCCTGCATATACACACGTACTGTCACACACAGAATCACACAATTTACTTTTTATAATATACACTACCCTATTAGCATGAGCTGACCACTCCAAATCATTTAGGTATTAGGTTGTATGGTCAGGGAGGAAAGTCTGACTTAACAAAGTGCGGTTGCATATGAAAAACTGAGAGGCTTTGAATCATAATGAACAGCCAGGAATCCAGCCCTAAAATACACTGTGTTCGTAAGAGTTATCACTTAAATAAGATTAAATTAAGAGAGACAAAAAACTGCCAAACTCAGAGAAAAATCTTCTTAAATTTATTTTCACAGTTTGAGAAAAATGTCCTTTTCCATGTAAGTTGGCTTATTTAATAAATTTTAAAATATGCTTAATTTTTTTTTATTAAAAAAAGTTTTTTTTTTTAACGTTTATTTTTGAGACAGAGAGAGACAGAGCGAGACAGAGCATGAATGGGGAAGGGTCAGAGAGAGAGGGAGACACAGAATCTGAAACAGGCTATAGGCTCTAAGCGGTAGCACAGAGCCCAATGCGGGGCTCGAACTCATGGACCGTGAGATCATGACCTGAGCCGAAGTCGGACGCTTAACCGACTGAGCCACCCAGGCGCCCCAAAATATGCTTAATTTTTTTTTAATGTTTATTTATTTTTGACAGAGAGAGAGAGCAGGAGTTGGGGAGGGGCAGAGAGAGAGCGAGACACAGAATCTGAAGGAGGCTCCAGGCTCCTAGCTGTCAACACAGAGCCCGACGCGGGGCTCGAACCCACAGACTACGAGATCATGACCTGAGCCAAGTCGGACATTCAACCGACAGCCATCCAGGCGCCCCATAAACTATGCTTCTTGATTCTGTTATATATATAAAATTGTAGAAGGAGAAAAAAAATGTGAAAAGGGCTGCTAGGATTGAGGATAATATGAGGGCTTCCAGTAAAGCTACATTTCATATAATTTCTTGGGCCACTATTTTTTACCTTGAACCCTATTAAAGTGTTACATGGCCTCAATGGTTCTAAATTTTCATAAAGAGGGTCAATTTTTAGAAAACTCTGGAAACAATTCAATTGCTCTAAAATAATCTATATATCCTTATTCTATTTAAGCTAACATGCATTGCATTTATTTTATTTAAAAATTACTTGTTATTTTTAATTTTTCGTTTATAGAATTATTTTTTAATTTTAATTATTTTTTTAAAGATTTTATTTTTAAGTAATCTCCATGCCCAACGTGGGGCTCAAATTTACAACCCCAAGATCAAGAGTCGTGTGCTCCACTGACTGGGCAGCAGGTACCCCTTTAAAACTTTTAACTTTTAAAATTATATAAGACATGCCGATTGTAAAAAATTCTTGTAATTTCTAAGCAAAACAGGTATATTCTTTCACCATCCCATCACACTCCTGTATAGCTACTTTACCAGCTTATTTATGACTTTTTTCTATAAAGTTATACATATTTCTGAGCAAAGCTCTGTTATGTGATTTGTGAACAACTTTTTCTCAAGAGTCATCCAGTATATTTTCGTGCCTTAGCATAACTATCAGTTGCCCAAAAACATGTTGATATTACTTGTTTTTACTGGTCTCATTTACTTTTCCGTAAGTAGATACAACTTTTCAACAATGTAGTCAATTCCCCAACTTTTATGTCGTTCTTCAAAAACATCAACCTTCTCAAGGCAATGAATGTTGCATGTTGAACCTGAAACAAGAAAGGGGAATGAGTTTCTAAGTTGATGAAGAATGCGATAGGGAATCTTCTAAAAACACATCAAATGATTTAAAAGAAGTACTGAAGATGTTTCTTTGCCTTTGAATGACAATGGGGAAATGCTAAGAGCAAACTCTGGACTCCGAATCACCATCACTACTTACAACTCCTAAGACCTAAATTAAACATACCATCTCTCTGAAAGAATTTAATGCCTTTAACATAACACGCCGCTTAGCTAAAAAGGCATATCACAGAGATCTGTCCCTTTTCTAGGATAAAATAGTCTTCAATAAAATGGTTTGACTTTGATTTTATACACTTCTAGACACTAATTTGGGGCGCCTGGGTGGCTCAGTGGGTGAAGCGTCTGACTCTTAATTTTGGCTCAGGTTATGATCACACAGTTGTGAGATGGAGCCCCACATCGGGCTCTGTGCTGACCACCCAGAGCCTGCTTGGGATTCTCTCTTTGCCTGTCGCTCTCTGCCCCTCCCTCTGCTCGCATGCTCTCACAAAATAAATAAATAAATATTTAAAAAATTGCTAGACACTCATAGTTACCAGGTCAAAACAGAGAATTGATTTTATTTAAAATATAAGTAACTTACCAAACAAGTTTTTAATTTCAGCATCTGGAACATAAAACGGTGGGCCTAGGTGAAAGAGAAACATGGTGAAGAATAATTTCCATAGATCTAATTCTAAAGAGAAATTCTCAGGGCCCGCTTCTCCGTCTGCTTCCAGTGACCTAGGTACACTCCTTCTATACACAACATAATTTCCCTTACATATTAACACCCAGTGCTCATCACTACGAGTGTACTCCTTACTCCCTATCTATCTGAGAGTGGGACTTACTCCCTACCACCAATTAAACCCATTCCCCCACCCACCCCCCATCCAACAACCCTCAGTTTGTTCTCTATAGTTAAGAGTCTGTTTCCTGGCTTGCCTCTCTCTTTTTTTTGCCCCATATGTTCATCTGTTTTGTTTCTTAAATTCATATGTAAGTGAAATCATATGGTATTTATCTTTCTCTTACTGACTTATTTCACTTAGCATAATACTCTCTGGCTCCATCCATGTTGATGCAAATGGCAAGATTTCATTCTTTTTCACGGCTGATTAATGCTCCGTGTGTGTGCGTATGCCACATCTTCTTTATCCGTTCATTAGTCAATGAACATTTGGGCTATTTCTGTAATTTGGCTGTTGTTGATAATGCTGCTATAAACAACACCGTGCACGTATCCCTTCGAATCTGTATTTTTGTATCCTTTGGGTAAATACCTAGTTGTGCAATTGCTGGATGACAGGGCTATTTTTAGTTTTTTAAGGAACTTCCATACTCTTTTCCAGAGTGGCTGCACCACTCTCATCAACAGTGCAAGAGGGTTCCCCTTCCTCTGCATCCTCGCTGACACCGGTTGTTTCTTTTTATTAATTTTAGCCATTTCTGACAGGTGTGAGGTGATATCGCATCGTGGTTTTGACTTGTATTTCTCTGATGAAGAGTGATGTTGAGCACCTTTTCATGTGTCTGTTGGCCATCTGGATGTCTTTGGCAAAGTGTCTATTCATGTCTTCTGCCCATTTCTTTATTGGATTATACGTATTTTGGGTGTTAAGTTGTATCAGTTCTTTATATATCTTGTATACTAACGTTTTATCCAGTAGGTCATTTGCAAATATTTTCTCCCATTCCATAAGCCGCTTTTGGTTTTGTTGATTGTTTCCTTCTCTGTGGTCCAGTTTCATTCTTTTGCATCCTGTCATCCAGTTTTTGGGACTTGGGAACTTTTAAATCGGAATGAAGCTGATGAACAAATTCCTTAGTGTTTCCTTCATCTTCTGAGTATTGATTTTCCTTGACTCCAACACTCACTCACATTGTACACATCCCTTCCACTTTGCTGCAGGCCATTTACTTGTAAGGAAATTGAGCTGCTGCCCCTTTCATGAGGTGTTGTGAGTCCCACTCTCAGATAGAGCCTGTGGTGTTCTGTCCCCAGAGGCCTGGCCTTAAGCCTCCTATTCAGGAATGGAATTTAAATCAGATTAGTAGCGCTGAGGTCTGTCTCCAATAATTTCTATTTCTATCTGATTGTTCCAGACTTAATTATGGACCCTAGGTCTCATTTTTTATATTATTATAATTTTTTTACATTTATTTATTTTTGCAAGACAGAGCACAAGTGGGGGAGGGGCAGAGAGAGAAGGAGACACAGAATCCGAAGCAGGCTCCAGGCTCTGAGCTGTCAGCACAGAGCCTGATGCGGGGCTTGAACTTACAAACCGTGAGATCATGACCTGAGCCAAAGTCGGATGCTTAACTGACTGAGCCACCCAGGCGCCCCCCAGGTCTCATTTTTTAAATGAGGTTTTAAGATCTGATTTACTCAAATAGAAAAAATACTAGCATATGTAAATATTTATAAAACGTCACACTTAAAACATCACTTTTCTAAGTTTAAAACAAAGATTGTTATTCAAGAGTGCAATAAATTATAAAATTTTAGAAATTAAAAAATATAGTTTAGAGATTTTTCTGCACACCTCCGACCCCCACCCCGTATCCTCATCCTGCCCATCTTCCTGTGAGGATGTGTCTGGGCCCCTAACCCATCCCTACCACCAGGGATGACCCACATATGCTCCACCCAAAGCAGGGCAACCAATCTCTCTTCCTTCTACTCCAGAGCTCATGAGATTTCTTTTATATTAGGGCCATCCATTCCTCCTCTGCTCTATAGTCTGAGCTGTGAATGGCAAACAAAATGGAATATGAGCGAGAAAACTTGTGGGAAGTGGAAAAAAACATTTACTGTTTCCATTAGCCCAAAGCAGACTTTTCTTCATGTATAAAAGGCAGTATTCTTCCTTTGCTCTAAATCAAGAGTATATAATGCTATCCATGTCATAGAATTAAATCAGGAAAAGAGGCAACATCTTTGAAAAAAAGAAAAACAAAAAACTTTACCTGGATGTTTAGTGGGATCATAAGAAAGAACAGCCAAGAGGTAGCGAAACCCTTTCCTCGTTAGGGACAGCATTATATCTGTATAGCTAAAAAGAACACAGCAGAGTAAGGTGTTACATTTCTCTTGGTTTTTTTTCAAGTTTATTTATTTATTTTGAGAGAGAGAGAGAGAGAATGAATCAGCAGGCAAGAGGCAGAGAGAGAGAGAGGGAGAGAGAATCCCAAGCAGGCTCTGAACTGTCAGCACAGAGCCCAATGCGGGGCTCGATCCCATGAACCGTGAGATCATGACCTGAGCCAAAATCCAGAGTCAGACACTCAACTGACTGAGCCACATTTCTCTACAAAGGCAAAGCCTGCAGGGGGGTGAGAGGCAGGCAGGGAAATCAGGTTCACTTTCACCTACATTACTGAGTTAAATTCTTGTAAGGACTATCTGCAGTCGATTCGCATTCTAAATGTCAGAAACCGGGTCTGCAAATTACGTCACCCACCTAAGCTGGGAAACAGTGAAGCTAGGAATCAAAAGGAGGCCGGCTTCCAGGGCTCACCTGATCAGAAGATGTCACATAGAAGTGAGCAGAGGCTCTTTCTGGCCTGATGGGGTACTCGGAGGCCTATCGACTTGGAACACATACTACGGAAGTGCTGTCAGCTCTGGGGCAGGGCCTCCCAGACCAGCTGGGTGTCAGTCACCTGAGCACTTGCTGAAAAAAAGGATGCTTGCACTCCATCCTTGGAGCCTGATCCGGTAGGGGTGGGGCTAGTGGGGGCCGAGAAGGCTGTAGGTTAACAATATTCCAGGTGACTGGGTCCTCTCCAGGGGCATATATGTAAGACTGTGTACAAGACAAGACAATCCCTTTCCTCTACTGAGTGGGAGAGGGAGAAGACTCACAAAGAGGCAAAAATTCAAGGGAGGGTGAAATCAGAGCCCTGCAGGTACAGCATGAATGATGGGTGCTATGGGCACAGTCCTTGCCATACGTGTCCCGCCCGGGGAGCAAGGGATGCCACTACCCAGCTGTGTCTGGTCGGTTCAGAAAGGGGGCCTGACTCGGACGGGCCCCATCGGCAGAGTGACCCCAGTACAGCATGCTGAGTTGGGCCATCACGTGACTGCACTGGGGACCGGAATCGAGACACCCAAAAAGCAGGTGCTGGTTAGCTGTCGTCATTGTACGGAAAGCTGGAGCTTTGGGGGGCTGTGCTGGGGTGCTGGTGCTGGGGGTTGTGGGAAGTCAGACATGTGGGAGCAGAAATGGAGGAAGCAGAGGAAGCTGAGGTCAGGTTAGGAGCACAGAGGAGACGGGCACAAGGAGGTAGAGACACTGTGAGGGACAGGCAGACAGAGACAGACAGACTGTGCAGCTCTAAGAGAGGCCCCCTAAATCTTGGTACAGCAGTTTCTACTGGGCTTGCATATACTGTAATCCCTGTGCACAGTTCTGGGAGTATCTGGGGAGGGGATCAGCATGGGGATTAGGAGCATGCACTTTGCCAGGTGTGTGAGCATGAAGCCCAGTTCCTGCACTTAGTGGCTAGGAAAGCTTGACAAGCTCTCAATCTCCCTATGCCTCAGTTTTGTCCTCAGTAAAATGGGGATAAGACTAGTAACTGACTCAGGGTTTTCTGAGTAGTCAGTGAGTTTATACACATGAAATACTTGGAACATTGCCTGGGGTGTGGGTAAGCACCCAGGTTAGCTTCCGTTATTCTCTTTAGTAGACTCCCCCAGTTAGGGCTGGCTTGAGTGGGTTGTATGTCCTTGTAAGGAAAGCATGGGACCAAAGCAAACTTTTTTCTTTTAAAATTTTTTAAGGTTTTTATTTATTTTTGAGACAGAGAGAGAGAGAGAGCAAACGAGCGAGCAGGGCAGAGAGAGGGAGACACAGAATCCAAAGCAGGCTCCAGGCTCCTAGCTGTCAGCACAGAGCCCGACGTGGGGCTCAAACTCACAAACTGAGATCATGACCTGAGCCCAAGTCAGACACTTAACTGAGCCACCCATGTGCCCCACTAATAGATCTTTACTTAACTTTCTGATTCTTGGTCTTAAGAAGGAAGAATTAACTTGTCATCCCCAAGAAGGGGATCAGTCAGACTGGTTTGGCAGGGTTTCTTAGGACTGACATACTTCATTCCGTTTGGAATGTGGACTCTCTCAGCTACTTTCAAGAAATTCAGAAAAATGAGAGAGAGGTACACCCCGCTGATTCATGTTAGGCAGGAGACCTGGGATCAGCCAACATCTCAGGACTTGCCTGTATGCGGTCAAAGCAGAAAGATGCCCAGTGTTAATGACAAGAATGAGATAAGGTATTAACATGTTAAGTACCAGGACCAAGATAAAGAAAAAGATCTTTCTATTGGCTTAAAGTAAGTTGTTATTCTGGTAAGAGAGGCCAACATGTTCTCAGGTGTACTTGGAGCTGTGATCTCTCTCTCTCTCTCTCTCTCTCTCTCACCACACACACACACACACACACACACACACACACACACACACACACACACACACACACGGCTGGGCTCGGAGGAAAGACAGCGGGGGAATCAGGGAACCCAAGCCACCGATTCCCTCACTAAGACTTCAGATTGGGGATCTCACTACTCTTTATTAACCATGAAATAACAGTCCAGAGGCCACTTAGATGGTCTTTATATCTAGCATAAGAGGAGGTGTGATAATGCTTTATAGGAAATGGTAGGTATTTTCTTGCTCTGGCATCTAGTTTGTTTCTTCATTTGTTTATTTCCACAAGTATTTATTGTAAGCTCTGACCATAAAGCAATATATACTCTGCCAGCCAGCGGGAAAACAACACAGTGTGCATCATCTGTGCCCTCATAGTGAGCTCAGGACTGCAGTCTGGCCTCCGTCTTATGGAGCCTTTCACTCCCACACAAACCAAAGCCCCAGAAGGATTCAACCTCAGAGACGATGAACATCCTCAGGGCACACAGGAAACACTTACAAAGGCAGATGCTTAGGCAGAATCGGGTCAGTATACATATGGTGGTGGCATGAGTAAACAAAGAGGCTTCCATGTGGTACTTGAAGTTGATAGCAATAACGTCCCACAAGAGAAACGTAACGCAAACACTGGAATGATGCAGATGTTTGAGAGAAAGAGCAGAGTTAGAATATAAAACGGGTGAGGGCAAATACCATGTATGATTTTTTTCCGATTTCCATACATATTTATTTTTTTTATTTTTTTTTTTTTTTTTTTTTTTTTTTAAAAATTTTTTTTCAACGTTGTTATTTATTTTGGGACAGAGAGTAGACAGAGCATGAACGGGAGGGCAGAGAGGGAGACACAGGTAATCGAAATAGTTCCAGGCTCTGAGCCATCAGCCCAGAGTCGACGCTGGGCTCGAATCTCACGGACTGGCAGATCGCGACTCCGGCTGAATGGACGCTTCAACTCACTGGCGCCACCCAGGCGCCCCATATATATTTTAGAATGACAGGAACTCTGCGATTTGTTGAATAACTGAATGAGTTGCAGCAATGATGATCAGTAAAGACCAAGGGTAAGAGATAGGCAGCCACAAGCAAACGCTAACGATGGTCCTTTAGAATGACAAATCTTTAGGTACATGAGGAAGGGAAGGTTCCAGAAAAGAGTGGTTGAGAAGGAGGCAGAAAGAGAGAGGTGAGAACAGAAGAATTATCGGCCAATGGGGCTTGGGTGGCTCACTGGTTCAGGCTGAGCCTCGCAGAGCGTGAGTTCAAGCCCCTGCACGTGGCTCTCCAGCGATGCCTGTGAGCCTCAAGCCTGCTTCCAGATTCTGTGTTTCCTCTCTCTGTTCCCTCCTCATCATGCTGCTCTGGTCTCAGTAAATAAACATTATCAATGAAGGAAAATATAGCATTAAGAAAATGTGGGGAAGCCATTGGCTCAGTCAGTGGAGCATGACTTTGATCTCAGGATTGTGAGTTTGAACCCCATGTGATGGGTGTAGAGATTACTTGAAAATAAAATTGCAGTTACGACATGGAACTGGGAGGGTATTATGCTATGAAATTAGTCAGAGAAAGACAATATCATATGATCTCTACCCATATGAGGACTTAAGAGACAAAACAGAGTAATAAGGAAGGAAGCCAAAAATATAAAACAGGGAGGGGACAAAACACAAGAGACCTATAAATATGGAGAACAAACTGAAGGTTACTGAGGGGTTGTAGGAGGGAATGGGCTAAATGCAGCAAGCACCAAGGAATCTATTCTGAAATCATTAAGGTCAACACAAATAACTAATTTGGATGTAAATTTAAAAAAAAAAATTAATAAAAAATAAATAATTAAAAAAAAAATGTGGCATGGTCTACTTAAAGAAGATTAGGTTTCATATCAAGCCTTCCTGAAACAATTAAAATAAATTATTTTGGGGGCTGTTTGGGTGGCTCAAGTTACAGGCTGACTCGGGGCTCAGGTCATGATCTGCGGGTCAGTGAGTGTCTAAGCCTGCCGGGCTCTGTGCTGTGACAGCTCAGAGCCTGGAGCCTGCTCTAGATTCTGTGTCTCCTTCTCTGACCCTCCCATGCTCTGTCTCCTCTCTGTCTCAAAATAAACGTTAAAAATTTTTTTAATAAATTATTTTATTTCACTGATGTGCATGCAATCCTAGTCTGCCCTTAGGGCACCTGGGGCCTAGTCAGGTTGGGTGTTCTGGAATTTTTTGATTTCAGCTAGGGTCAGGATCTCAGGGTTCTGGAACTCCAGCCCTCTGGCACGGGCTCTGTTGGGACAGAGCCTGCTTAGATTCTCTCCTTCTCTGCTCTCCTCTCTTTTTTTATGCCTGTCTCTCCTCAAAATAAATAAACTTAAAAAAAAAAAAGAGTCTGCCTCTATAGGACTAAATAATTCAACATTTATATGCTATCTCCAAGTAAGCATGTGAATGATATTTGAAAATCTGAAAGTACATAGGACATTACATAGTGTAGTGTGCTTCATTATTACTTTTTATTTTCTAATAAGACGAGGTGCGATAAGAATGGTCAATAACAAAATCTCTGACATAATAGCAGCTAATATTTAGCAGTTATGAGTATAAAGGACAGGCACCTCCCATTACATGTCTTCTCCTTTTAATCCTGGTCAGCACCCTTGCAGATAGAATAACGTAGGGATCACGAGCGTGGGCTTTGACCAAACTCCCTCAGTCAGAATTTCAATTCTGTTGTGTTTTGAAGGCCCAACTTCAAGTTCAACTTAATCTCTTTGTTTTTTAATTTTGCAGACGTTTTTCCATTTTTGAGAGACAGAGAGGGAGAGAGAGCGATCAAGCGAGCATGAGTGGGGGAGGGGCAGAGAGAGGGAGACACAGAATCCGAAGCAGGCTCCGGGCTCCGAGCTGTCAGCACAGAGCCTGATGTGGGGTTTGAACCCACAAACTGTGAGATCATGACCTGAGCTGAAGTCGGTTGCTTAACCGACGGAGCCACCCAGGCGCCCCAAGCAAGTTAATCTCTTTGACCATAATCTCATCTGTAAAATGGGAATAATGGTAGCATATACCCCACAGGGTTGTTTGGTAGATTCCAAGTGTTGATAGAACGTTTCCAGCAATGGCTGGCGCAGCAAGTGCCAGACAGCGGCCACCTGGTGATGTCAGTGGAGGCGGACGGGGTGGTGTCAGCAGGTGAGCTGCTGTTGTGCAGAGTAAACTGAAACCTGGTGAAGGTGAATCCTTTGATCAAGGCAACACAGCTCAGAAGGGACGGTGCCACAAGCCTTGTCCCAGGTCCGCATGGCCAAATCCTACCCTTTCACCCAAAGGGGGTTTTGGACGTAGGTCTTCTGATGCCGGACACAGTAAGCTATTTCAAAATAGTAAAAGTCTAATTTTCTGGAGCTCAGAAAAAGTACAGCGTATTAAATTAAGAAGGCCAAAAAGGAAACGCCAACATAATTAAAGAAACCAAATTACTAACCATTTACGATCGCCTGGGTTAACAGCAACTAATGCTCCTCTATCCCAGATCCTGTCGAATTTGCCAATGTTCACTCTGTCAGGAAGAAAAAGAAAGAATACAACAGCTTAAATAAGAAAAATCAAATCTTGAACAAGATGAACAGCGCCCCCCGTGGTGCATGCTGGTATTTCGCCGGCTGTTAAGGATCTCCTGTCTGCTTTTTCAGAGCCTCCAGGGACGTGTTGATGCGGGTATGGGGAGCTCCTTCCAGTCGTAGGGGCCGGTGGCAGGAGCCTCCCCCTTCCACTCTGACCTGGGAGCACGAAGGAGGCCCCGAGAACTATGTGTCACAACAAATATCCGGGACTTTCCGGAGATGGGATGTCACCACCTTCTGCACTTCGAAATTCCTTTCTGTTACAGACTAGGTGTGAAGCGGAGACATTGTCTTGCTCTCCCTTCCTTTTCCCCTACCTGCCTAGAGTTGTTAGACTGTTTTCCATGTTCTGGAAGCTATCCAGGGACAAAGATAATCAAGTGTGCAGACACGTAGGCTGTAGCAAAAAGAACGGCAGAGCACAGATTCAAATCAATGCTACCGCAAGTAAACGGGAGGAATACAAAGACCTTCCCCACTCAGTGCTGCCTGGCAAACACTCAAGTTACTAAAGGTGCAGAGGTGCTGGGGCGCCTGGGTGGCTCAGTGGGTTGAGCCGCCTGAGACTGACTGGGCTCAGGTCAAGCTGATCTCATCGTTCACAAGCCTCATCTGTCAGAGGAGATCAGGCTCTGTGCTGACAGCTCGGAGCCTGGAGTGTGTGCTTCAGATTCTGTGTCTCCCTCTCTCTCTGACCCTCCCCTGTTCATGCTCTCCCAAAAGTAAATAAACATTAAAAAAGAAATTTAGAAAAAAAAGTGCAGAGGTGGTATTCGGTCCTACCTGGGAAGATCAAAAAGGTTGCAACAGTACAGTGAAATGTTCCCTGAAGAACTCTGTAATGAAAGTCAAGGAAAAAAAAAATCGGTTTAGTTAGGAGATAACTGAATGGTGAAGGAAGACAAGAGGGGCAAAGTAAAAGTGGTAGGGAGAGAATATGTAGTTAAACAAGAATGTGGGGAGCCTGGGTGGCTCAGTCAGTTGGATGTCTGTCTGCCTTTGGCTTGGGAGCCTGGGTGGCTCAGTCAGTTGGATGTCTGTCTGCCTTTGGCTTGGGCCATGATCTCACGGTTCATGAGTATTAAGCCCTGTATCAGGCTCACTGCTGTCAGTATAGAGCCTGCTTCAGATCCGCTGTCCCCTTCTCTCTCTCTGCCCCTCCCCCACTCTCCCTCTCCCCCTTTCCCTCTGTCCCCCCCACCAAAGTAAATAAACATTAAAAAAAAACATGAAGAATGTGGGGCTCCTGGGGGGCTCCGTGAGTTAAGCATCCAACTCTTGATTTCAGCTCAGGTCATGATCTCAGGGTTTGTGGGATTGAGCCCCTCATTGGGCTCTGCACTTATAGCGCAAAGCCTGCTTGGGACTGTCTCCCCCCACCCTTCCCCTGCTTGTGCTCAAGCTCTCTCAATAAATAAATAAATAAACATTAAAAAAATAAACATGAGGGGCGCCTGGGTGGCTCAGTTGGTTAAGTGACCGACTTCAGCTCAGGTCATGATCTCATAGCTCATGAGTTCGAGCCCTGTGTTGGGCTCTGTGCCAACAGCTCAGAGCCTGGAACCTGCTTTGGATTCTGGGTCTCCCCCTCTCTCTGCCCCTCCCCAACTCACACTCTGTGTCTCTTTCTCTGTCTCTCTCTCAGAAATAAACATTAAAAAATAATAAACATGAAGAATGGAATTGTACTGCAAATAATTTTTTTAATGGTGCTTTTGTTTTTTTTAAAGACCGATATGGGTTCTTTTGGATCAACTCTAAGAGAAAAATCAGAGAGAAGTTAACCCTGAAGAATTAGTTACCTATTATACTTTTCAGAGCTTGTTCAATCTAAACAGTATTTACTTTAGCAGACCCCTGATATTTTGACACTGTTAAAGATAAGTAAACAGGCCAACCAACTACCAGGCAGGCAGATACAGAAAGGCCAGATTAAAAAAAAATTTTTTTAATGTTTATTTATTTTTGAGGGAGACAGAGGGAGAGACAGAGTATGAGCAGGGGAGGGGCAGAGAGAGAGAGAGAGAGAGAGGGAGACACAGAATCCAAAGCAGGCTCCAGGCTCCGAGCTGCCAGCACAGAGCCCAACGCGGGGCTCGAACTCGCGGCCTGTGAGATCACGACCTGAGCCGAAGTTGGACGCTTCACCGACTGAGCCACCCAGGTGCCCAGGTCAGGTATTTTTAACATCATTTCATGCAAAGTGCAGTTGTGTGGACTGACCTCTCCTTCCTCGCCCTTCACCCTCACCCCCACCCCCCAGGCTTCTCACATCCCTGGACAGCGGAGTCCATGTCACGTTACTCCCCCCTGGGCCACGCCCCCAGCCCGCTCCCCTGTAATGTTAGCAGAGACATCCAGACACCGTTTCAGAGGCTGCCTCTCATTGGCCTTTCCCCGGGGCTGTCAGGCAGCTCCCTGTTGTGTCTTCTGGGTTCTCACGTTCTCAGGCACACAACCAGAACAGTACAGGCCATCCTGTATTCAGGGTTTATACCCGCGCGGCTCTGCTCCACCAGCCTGTCCTCACTGCGGTCAGAGTCTGTGCCAAATTCACACCCGCTCTCTAGAACCCAGGATAGTTCTGTCCACAAGGTGCTCAGGCAATGAGCTGATGAATGAAAGAGAGCAAAACCAGGGGTCCACAGGCAACTGTCGGATTTTATTCTGAAATGACGCACCAACGGAGGCTTACAAATAGACAAGGGTCTCTAAAGACCAGTCTGGAAGCACCGTGGGGGGGCAACCCAGAGGGGTGGGAGTGTCAGCAGGGAGGACAGCCAGTGAGTCTCAACTTTGGGAAGCTTTGAATAGTACTGATCCCCAGCCCCACCCTTAGAGTTTCGGATTTAACTGAGCTGGGCTGAACCCTCAGATGGGGAATTTTGAAAGATCCACAGACCTTTGCAAATGTGCCCCCGGGGCTGAGAACCATTGCTTGCTCCAAGACTAGTCTCTGAACTGAGTAAACCCTGGGATTCTTAGATGATTTGAGAATGGGGGTGGGGGGCAGGGAGTGGGGAGGAAGCTGTAAAATGAAGTACTATCAAGCCTCCTACTAACCCACAATTAGTTTCAGATATTTAGAAAAGAGAGTACTTTGTGAGAGACTGAATGCACCAGTGGACAATGGCCAGACCATGTAGGACTAGAGAACTTGGACCCGTGACTTCTGTGGCCGCTAGCCTGGGAAACCAAAGCACAGCCTTTGCTGCGACGATGTGTCATTGGGTTCTAGGGGTGCCTGGGTGGCTCAGTCAGTTAAGTGTCTGACTCTTGATTTTGGCTCAGGTCGTGATCTCAGGGTCGTGGGATGGAGCCCTGTGTCAGGCTCTGTGCTGAAAGCATGGAGCCTGCTCGGGATTCTGTGTGTCTCTCTTTTTCTCCCTCAGCCCTTCCTTGCTTACATGTTTCTCTCTCTCTCTCTAAAAAAGTAAAACAGGGGTGCCTGGGTGCCTCAGTTGCTTAAGCGTCCGACTTCAGCTCAGGTCATGATCTTATGGTCCGTGGGTTCAAGCCCCGCATTGGGCTCTGTACTGACAGCTCAGAGCCTGGAGCCTGCTGCAGATTCTGTGTCTTCCTCTCTCTCTGCCCCTCCCCACTTGCACTCTGTCTCTCTCTCTCTCAAGAATAAACATTAAAAAATTAAAAAAACAAAAAACAAAAAAACAAAAAACAGCCTCACTCATTCCCATTTGGGTGGTGTTTTATTCCCACATTATTATCCCAAGCAGACAAAGCTGTCTACCTGGCTCACTGTGGTCAAAGGACGAAGACCACTCCCAAATCCGTCATTTCCAGCCCAAACGTCGCCCGGAGACATAGAGCCATTTGCCAGCTACACCTTCACCATCGCGCAGGCCTCTTAAACTCACTTTTTTAAACAAGTAATCTCTAACAACCGGGATATTAAGAGTCGAACATTCTACCAACTGAGCCAGGCAGGGGCCCCAAACTCATCATCCCGAGAGGAAAACTCATTTGCTCTGCCCTTTGAGCTTGTTTCTCGTTTATTCTCTGCCATCCATTCCAGTCATCTGGGCTGAAAGGGCAAACTCAGCTCCCCCCTGATTCCCACTCAGTTAATCTTAAATCCTGCCAGTGTAACATCCTAAACACTGCTTTGAGCTGCCTGTTCCTCTATACGCCCTGTGGCTTTCCCGGCGCCAGCCTTCAGGAGCTCTTCCCTGGCCCTCCGCACGCGGCCTCCCAGCTGGTCTCTCTGCCGGGAGGCCGCTTCCCTGACGCCACAAGGGTGGTTCGTCTCAAAAGAAAATCTGGCCGCATCAGGCTCCAACTTAAAACCCTTCCTGCACAGGATGAAGGACCAGCGTCACGGGGCATCTGAGAATGTGTGCTAGACTGCCTGACCGTCACCACGCTTCAGCGAGCCCTGCGAGGCTGGGTTAGGGGACTCTCCTGTCTGTTCCCTTTATACCCTGTGTCGTTACACTTAGCTCTGTGTGTGACAAACAGCTTCCTCTGTGTTTCTCTTCTCAGCTAACAGATTCTTTAGGGCAGGGAATATGTTTTGATCTCTTCAATGTCCTTTGCAGGGAGTGGCACAAGAAATTCTCAGGAATGCCTGTTTATAAATAAAACTAACAAACCCAAATCAAAATCATGATTATAGATAGGCTTTGACATCAGCTATTAAAAAAAAAATTTTTTTTTGTGTGTTGGTTTTCTTGAAAGAGAGAAACAGAGCACAAGTGGGGAGGGGCAGAGAGAGAGGGAGACAGAATGTGAAGCAGGCTCCAGGCTCTGAGCTGTCAGCACAGAGCCTGATGTGGGGCTTGAACTCAAACTGTGAGGTCACGACCTGAGCCAAAGTTGGTCACTTAACCAACTGAGCCACCGAGGCACCCCAACCTCAGCTCTTTAATACATTTGTGCACATCTAGCTATCACCTTTCAAGCCCTAGTTCTTTAAACGCTATAGTGTCCTGGTGAATCTGATAAAGTGGGGTCACATGACATCTGTACAGTAACTTAACTTTCTCTAAGAGAAACCTTTTCCTGGGGGTGGGGCGGTACGGAAATACTTATTTACCAAAAACAAAATATACCTTGAATACTTTGGCTCCAGGAATTTCCATGATGGGCTCTTCCGAGTAAGAAAGATTCTGCTCTGTAAAAAATTCCCGAATCCCAAGCTCACTGATTTCCACACCCACTACACAGTGTCCTCGGTCCGCAAACCTGCATGAAATCATGTTATTCACACTTAAAATTTTTATTTCGGATACATTACTAAATAAAAGAGCATACCCCAATAAACATTCAGTTCCCTTAATTTTAAGGGATTAGCATAAACTCAGGTTCACAGGGTTTCACAGAACTTGTAGGGAAGTGCATCTATGTATTCTCAAGCTTAGTGGTACCTGGAATTCTGAAAAATTGATTTACATGACCTTAGGAAAAAATTAAAAATTTGAAAACCTATACCTTAAAACATTGGTCTGTTACAAATGGATCTGATTAGAAGAGTTTCTCATTTAAAAGCATTCTGTGGATTAGAAATGCTTTTTAATTTCTCTAAATTAGCCCTGTCCATTAAAACTTTCTGTGATGACAGAGGGGTCTGTACCTGTATTGTCCAATCCACTGGCCACTAAGCACATTGGCTACTGGGCATTGGAGATGTGGCTAGTGTGATTTAAATTCAAATCGTCACACGTGGCTAGGAGCCATGGTACTGGGCACAGGGCTCTATGACGTTAGCGTCCATTTCTATAATCTTACAACTTCCATTTACTTACCATCAACACTATCCAGAAACGTATCGAATTGCCATATACAAATAACTAGTGTTTTCCTTCTAAGTTGTGTAATTACAGAATTCACAGCTGTGGGATCTTGACTCCGGGGGAAACAGCCCTAGTAGCACAAATATCTAGGCACAGTACTGATTCATGTCAAATTAAACAAACACATACAGTCAGTTCTGCTATAATGCAACATAGGCATCCCTAAAAATCACTGTGCAATGCAAAATTATGCAATAAAAATCGAAAGGCTTATGGGGAAAGTGGGGGTTGGGGCACAAATAAAAAAACTTTGTCACAGTGGAACATTATTCAGCCATTTGGCACAGAGCCTGCTTGGGATTCTCTCTCTGCCCTTCCCCTGCTCATGCTGTCTCTGCCTCTCTTAAAAATAAATAAATAAACTTAAAAAAAAAATGAAATCTTGCCATTTGTGACTACATGAATGGACCTTAAGGGCATTGTGTTAAATGAATTAAGTTTAACAGAGAAAAACAAATACAGTATGGCCTCATTTATATGTAGAATCTAAAAAAAAAGAGAAAGAAAAAAAGGCTCATAGATTCAGGGAACAGACAGGTGGTTGCCAGAGGCAGGGGCAGAATGTAGTCGAAATGAGTGAAAGGGTCAAAATTCCCAGTTAGAAAATAAGTAAGCCATGGGGATGTAATGGACAGCATGTTATACAGTATTATAGTTAATGCCATACTGAATATTTGAAAGTTACTGAAAGAGTGGATCTTAAAAGTCCTCATCACAAGAAAAAAAAATTCTCCCACTATGTATGGTGAGGGATGTTAACTAGACTTATTGTGGAGATCATTTTGCAATATATACAAATATCAAATCATTATACACCTAAAACTAATGCCATGTTATATGTCAATCAGACCTTAATTTTTTTTTTTTTTGAAAAGCTGTTACACATTTGCCATAACTTAACTCTGTGACTCCAGATTTCCTCAAAAATATACAGTGAAAATTTAGAAACAAACTGCATAAATAATACATAAGAAAAAAAACAACAATTCTCATCGGTGCCACATTATTAAAAAGAAGACAAACAGAGGGTGCCTGGCCGTCTCAGTCAGTAGAGCATGTGACTCTTGACCGTGGGGTTGTGAGTTTGAGCCCCACGTTGGGTGTAGAGATTTCCTAAAAAATAAATAACATCTTACCAAAAAAGAGAAAAAAAGAAGAAAGACAGGAACCTCATAGAAACGGTGGCACAGTTTTACGCCTGTTATATGGTTACAAAATATATAAATACTAGCGTGTGGCAAGGTGACATTGAGAAAGACCTGAAGCTTACTCATAGAAGTGAATGTTGGAAGGGAGGCAACTTGTAAGTTATTGTGCACTGATAGAATGGGGGTGACTGGAAAGTTCTAACAACAGCTGTGGATAGGAGTGGCTCACAGCACACAGGTGAACTGAGGTGTCGGGGAACTGTGTGGGGTGTGTGCATGGGTGTGTTTTGTCCCTTCACACACAGCTGCCTGTAGTTTTCTGCTCTTCCTTCATGTTTCTTGTAGATGAAATTGCATGTAAGTGAAGGTGAAATTCACGTCACGCTCAAATCGTCCCCTGATTTATCAGTGGAGTTAGAGTGAAAACAGCATTTTTGAAACGAGGTATAGCAGAACGGATTGTACCTATTGTCCACACAAGACTACCACTTTCAATGAGGTCAGAGCGTGAACTGTTTTACAGCTCTAAAATAAACATATGAATAACTGGTCTTTCATATTTCCTCCTAAATTCATAAGTTAATATACAGGGAATATTTTATTTTATTATTTATTTATATATTAAACAACTGAAAAAAAAAAGTTTTTTTACTTTTATTAAGTAGGTTCCATGACCAATGTGGGGCTTGGACTCACCACCCTGAGATCAAGAGGTGCATGCTCTACTAACTGAGCCAGAGAATTCCCAGGTGTCTCCAGGGAATTTTTTTTTTTTTTTTTAATTCTTCCTACAAAGTTATCCAAACTGGCTGTGAAGATTTTTATTTATATTTGACATATGGAAAACAAAATATAGCCTATTACAGACTGGCATAGGCTGGATTATATTGGAATATACCATCCTGAAAAAAACCTAAGAAAATGTCTTAAACATTTTATTTTAACACTTTTGGGCCTCATCTCATAGTTATCTATTCACATCTGGTATCTGTACAGACCCTAATACGCAAATTAGATACATAAATGAAAAATCTTCTAATACAGTAACTTACTCGCAATTCTAACAGCTTAGTTGTGGTATTTTTTTTAATGTTTATTTATTTATTTTGGGGGGGGTGTGTGCTAACATGAGTGGGGGGAGGGGCAGAGAGAGAAGAGGACGGAATCCCAAGCAGGCTCCGCGTGGTCAGTGCAGAGCCCCACATGGGGCTTGAACTCACGGACCGTGAGATCATGACCTGAGCCAAGATCAAGAGTCAGATGCTTAACCGACTGAGCCACCCAGGCGCCCCAGTTCTGGTATTTTTGTTACACATGACTTTGGATCCAAATATCTGACAATCACATTTAATTGTCTATTTACTCATTCCATTTCCTAATCTTGTCTCAAAACCTCTGCTAGTGCTAGATGGTTAGTACTTAACCACAGGGCAATAAGACCGTCTGTTTCTAGAGTTAATGCTTTTCTTGTAAGGAGTTTCCAAAGCAACTCTTCTGGTTTAGTGAGTTGGTTGGGGATATGTCTAGTAATACAGTTTAAATATTCTCAATGTCATGGCCACACTAGAATCTTAAGCCACGTCAGCCATGTCACAGGTGCTCAGCTACTACAAGTTGAGCCTGTGGGTGTGCTGGCTGCAAGAATGCCACATCTGTACTTGAAAATCAGCTCCAAACGCATTCATGTTTTGTGGGTCAGCCACCTACATTTTTATAGGAAATGGAGCATCTTCAAGTCGCTAAATTTTTCATTTACTAACCTTTTTAATACTTTAAAATTTTCTTTCCTGCCTAATGATCAAAATTCTCAACATTCAAGGTTATAAATTAAAAAAAAATTTTTTTTAAATGTTTATTTATTTTTGAGAGAGAGAGAGCAGAGTGTAAGCAGGGGAGGGGCAGAGAGAGAGGGAGACATAGAATCTGAAGTAGGCTCCAGGCTCTGAGCTGTCAGCACAGAACCCGACCTGGGGCTCGAACCCACAAACTGTGAGACCATGACCTGAGCTGAAGTCAGACACTCAACCGACTTAGCCACCCAGGCACCCCTCAAGGTAATAAATTAGTGGTACTTCTAAGCAGGTCTGTGCATGATTACCACAACTGAGTCATATATAGAAGACGATTGCCAGGTTTGTGATTTTAGGATAATCTACGGTAATAGCGGCTTGCTAATTAAAGTGAGTTCTCTCCACAGAGAATTACTTACAAGAAATACTTTCCTCATCAACAGTTTTGTAACAATGATTCTTGAAAACAATTGCCTATGTGCTTGTAGTGGGAGGGGAGAGCTGAGTTGAACCGTGGACTACATGCTTTATTGCCCAAGAGTTGTAATTTGTTTTGAATTTTTCTGACCACCTCTAATCAAACTATCTAAAATTAACTCATCCAAATTCCTAAACCACCTACAAAAATGAAACTGCACAAAGATGTCGCAGACCTAAGAGAAAAGGCTAGCCGCCTGCATGCCTTGAGACCCCACCACTAGTTCCAAATTATATTTATAGGATTATAAATAAATGATAATTTTTCTTAGAGACCCAATAAAGAAAGGCCACACTGTGTCTTACTGAGAATATTATCTCTATGAACCCAGCAGTAATAATCTACCAAAAATAAAGGATCCCTGTATATTTCCTGAGAGTGGAGCTTTTAAACCTGTATCTTTTAAAATATTCACCTAAAGTATTTGTCATCAAGTCAAGAAAGTGTGTTAATGCTCATCTGCTCTTACCATTTCATCTCAACTGCTTTTCCACAAAGAGGAAAAAATACTCTCAGAACATTCTCGCCTTTAAGGAAAGTATCCAAATGCTTCTTTAATAATCTGGGGAGAAAAAAAAAAGATTTGTTTTCTTTAGCCTAATGCACAGAGGAAAGGATTACAATCACATGATGCTAAGTACTTTTCATGCACTATCTCACTTAATATCCCCTACAACTTTACAAAATAGGTAACATTCATTATTACACTCTCCAGTTTACATAAGAAGAAAAAGAAGGTTAAATAACTTGCTTAGTCAACAGATAGTAAGTCATCTGACATCTGACTTAACCCTGGAACTTTCCTCATTTGTAATTAAAAGTTATTTTTCTTGGTTGATAGGTTTTAAAAATTCTTTATTAATTCCCCAATGTATGCATGTGTGTGTGTGTGTGTGTGTGTGTGTGTGTGTGAGAGTGAGAGAGTGAGAGTGAGAGAGAGAGAGAGATGGGGAGCCGCTGGACCCACTGAATTTTTCAACATTCATTTTATGAGAAGCTATCTAAATGTGTACTCACGTCTTAGACTCTGGAAAGTTTAATTCTGTAGTTAATTCCCTCTGTAGAGATGTGGCTCTTCTAAGGCCACCCACATGACAAAGATAACCCATATAATGGCTCTGGGAAGATGCCCCAACTACCACTCAGTGTGCAAATACAGTGATAGTGATGATGATGATGATGTCGTCATCCCCTGGGAAGTAAGAGTAGCTGCCTAGAACAAGTCTGACCACTTTACTTAGCACTGGCCCATGATACATTGCTACTGCTTCAAAGCTTACCACTACTAACACATTGCTCAGCATCCTATTTCATGTATTAATTTTTCTCAGCTTCTTTTCCTACATACAGGAAGAAAAAGTATTATATAGATAACACTTTACATTTGAACACACGCTATTGGAAAGCAAAGTCAGAACATCGCCACCTTTCAGTATAAAGAGATATACGCGTTAATGTGGGCATCTGCCATATATATAAATGTGTATGACCAACATGCGGATGCTACAGGGGCTTAAAAAAAGACATATTTCATAAATCTCAGATGCCTTCAATTGTAAGACACCATTATCTATACCCCCTGGGAAGAGCTAACATTGCTGATAAATCTAAGACATGCCAGAGATGCGCTGTATTTCAGAGACGATAAAAGGTGAAAAACTAAAAACGTACACTTTATAATCAGTCATATATTGTGTACCTATATTATTATTTCTATTTCCAAAGTCAGTTTCTGATGGAGCATTTCTCTCTTATATATACCAAACATTTCTTACTGATGTCCTTGTTCTTGATGAAATCCAATTTTGCCGTCCACCCACTTTTCTCGCCATTCTTCCAGAGTTAGTACTCGGTTTTTCTGTACCTCGGTATCGGGGTACTCTTTAACATCAATTAAAGTGCTTGTATCATCCATAGTTTCATGCACACCTTTGCCTTACAAACAGATGCCTTAAATGCCTGCAAGGAAAATATTCACAATGTTGTCATTTAAGGGCATCGCAATTCTATCGATAAATGAAATAAAAACCCATTATCCTTATTCTGTCTCTCTCTCTCTCTGCCCCTCCCCTACTCACAAGCACATGGCAGTGTTCTCTCTCTCAAAATAAACTTAAAGAAAACCTATTATCGTTAGCAATATGGCTTTTAAAAATATTTCAACATCTAAGGAAAAGCCATCCAAAAGATTACTTCTCAGTGAGCCTAATTGTAGAAGCATACCTCATATTGCTTATTAGGAAGGATCTTTAAATTTTTTTTTTTTCAACGTTTATTTATTTTTGGGACAGAGAGAGACAGAGCATGAACGGGGGAGGGGCAGAGAGAGAGGGAGACACAGAATCGGAAACAGGCTCCAGGCTCTGAGCCATCAGCCCAGAGCCTGACGCGGGGCTCGAACTCACGGACCGCGAGATCGTGACCTGGCTGAAGTCGGACGCTTAACCGACTGCGCCACCCAGGCGCCCCAGGAAGGATCTTTAAATAAACTGAATTACAGCTTTAAAAAAATGCTTATTTATTTTTGAGAGAGAGAGAGAGAGAGAGAGAGCATGCATGCAACCACACGCATGCAGGGGAGGGACAGAGGTAGAGAGAGAGAGAATCCCAAGTAGGCTCTGCACTGTCAGCACAGAGCCAGATGCAGGGCTCAAACCCACGAAACATGAGATCATGACCTAAGCCCAAACTGGGAGCTGGATGCTTAATCGACTAAGCTACCCAGATGCCCCAATAGACATGGCCTATTTTTGATCAAACATTTGGAGTACACATTATTATGACCAGTTAAATACTATTCACAGCTGAACCACATAGTATTCTATGATTACTTTTCTGTACAACTTTTTATTTTCTAGTTAATAGCTGTCTTACTTTTTCATTTATATAAAATCCCTATGTACCTGTTACTAGTTCAACTCTAAGCTCTACCAATTGTCCCAATCTCCTATCAGTACACTCTCAATCTCTTATCAGATATTCTACCAATAGCATCATCTTGGAGGGGACTCTCTGGGAGCCTTCTGGCCTGGATGTTCCCTGTTCCCACTGCATAGCTAGCATTCTGGGATCACTCTTGTTCATCACCCTGAAGATCTCCTTCTCTTTTAATGATTCCCTTTCTTTTACTCTTTTTTTGGTTATTCACCCAAAAGGGTGAAGCACAACTTTCAACAGCTTTCTAAGAAAGGGTGCACAGGAGAAAAGGTTTTTGTGATTCTGCATGTACGACATGTCTTCATACTATTCCAGATCCTTGATGTATAGTTTTGCTGGGTATAGAATTCTTGGTTAGAAATCTTTTCCTCTCACAATTTTGAAAAAAGTAGTTCCATTGTCTTCTAGCTTCCAGGGGTATTGCTTAAGTTCAAAGACATTCTGATCCTGATATTTTCCAGAAGGTCAATGTTTTGCTCTCTCTCAAGGCTCTTCTTTGACCCTAGTTTTTCCGATTTCATAATTCTGTGCCTTCTTTTGAATCTGCTTTCAACAATTTGGCTGAGTTTTTTAATCTGGAAATGTCATATCCCTCAATGCTGGAAACATTCTGGAATTATTCAGATAATAATTTATGTCCCTCTTTTGTTTCTCTTTCTCAGACCTCTTTTATTTGGCCGTAGAGCCTCCTGACCTAGTATTGTAAATTTCTAGTATTTTTGTTCCCATTTTCCAGCTGTTCATCTTTTTGCTCTATTTTCTGAGAGACTGCCTTAATTTTTATCCTTCTACCTTTCTATTTAGTTTTTAAACAAAATTTTTTATTTGGTTTTTCTTTCCTGCTATCAAGTCTTTAATTTTCAAGAGCTCAATTTTTGCTTCTGATGTTCTTTTTATATTACTTTGTTATTTCATATATAGATGTAATATTTTCTCTTATTTATCTGCATAGTCTGCTGCTTATGAGTCACTTTTTCTGTTTTTTTTGTCTTCTGTCTTTCCAACTAGTGACTTTCCTTAAATGCCTAGCAATTCTTTTTATCTGCTCATATTTAAGAGCAGTACCAAAAAGCTGATTAGATGTTTAAGTATGTGGGTGGGTTCACTGACTGTAAGCTGCACCTTAAGGATGATGTGAGTGGATTTCATCTGGAAACCTAGATGTCACTATCTTTGTCTTCTTTTGACTGGGCAGACTTTCCATAGATGGATCTCTCAGTCCCTGTGATAAGGATCAAGTTCTTGGAAGCCATGGTTCTATACTCACATAAGAAAAGGACAGAAGTGAGAGGGCCCCAGCATTCAGTTTGCTTGTGTTCAATTAATCTCCATTCTCAATATGGCACTCAAATTCCCAACTGTGTATTTGTATCTCCCTAGTCCAGAGACTCCTTACCTTCTGCAGGGAATAAACTCCCCAAGTCTGCTGGTGTGGCAAGAGACAGACACCTTGTTGCAGGGAGTTGGTAAAGGGACCTGGGGATTTAGCACTTTCTGAACCAGAATTTCAAGCAATGCTCCTAGTTTCAACCACACCCTTCCACGTCCCAGAGGAACCTGGTGCTAATTCCTGAGCATTTGGGGGATTCTATAATGCGAATGGGGTTGCTTATTGGCTTTCCCCAACACTGGTTTATAGCTTAGCTTTCTTGAGGGGTGCATGGCTGGCTCAGCTGGTAGAACATGTGACTCTTGATCTTAGGGTCATGAGATCAAGGGTCATGAGTTCAAGCCCCATGTTGGGCATGGAGCTTACTTTAAAAAAAAAAAAAAAAGAATTTAGTTTTCCTCAGTCTGCAGAATCCTTTACCACTTGTCCATCTGCAGTTTTATGGTTTTTTTGTCTCACCTATCCTCCCTACCCTATTGCTGTTTTGGTGGGGTTTTAGGAAGGCGCAAAATTAGATATGTGGGTTTGATATCCCATCTCTATTCCATAAGTTGGTGTTTTCAAATAATTTTTCTTGCAGTTTCTTTTTTGCATGGGAAAAGGCACACAATGGAACTGGGGGAAAAAAAGACACTTAAATATAACTGCAATCCCTCTGAACATATGAGGAAAATGCCTGTCCTTTCAATGTGAACGTTGTTATACTAAGGACAATGTAACACCAATAATTCTAACATTCTAACATAATTATTTGAATCATTAGTGAAACTATTTTAGTTTGGAGTATACTCACATGCTACTATTGGCGGGTTTAATTTAATGATTTATCAATGAGAATAGTAAACATCACATAAGAGCAGGTGTTTCTGGAAAAGTTCCCTTTACTGCAAAGTTTGGTTCTAGTGTGCTTAGGATTTAAGGAGAAGGCACCTCCCTTGCAACTGGGAACATAAATTCACTTCTCAGCCAACATTTGTTAACAAATGCTTTTGCAAGGTCCTGCTGATGTCAGGAGGTGACTTTCAGTTTTCTGAGAGGTCGGGGGAAGTATCTGATTACATTGGGTACAGAAAAGCAAAAAAGAGGAGCAGTGTTGCAATGTACATTTTCAGCAAGAAACTCTGGAACCTCAGCTTGAGCTCTCATAAAGCAGTTCTCTATTTAAAACAAAAAGGAAACAGAATTTTATCATAAAACCAGGACAATCTGGAATTGCACACTTCTATTCCTTTCACACAAACTTGAAACAAAAGTTAACGTCATGTATATAACTTAACCACCTCTTAGCTGTTCTAAGAGCATCTCAGTGGATACTTGCCCACGTGCTTTTTTAGAGAAATAAAACGTTTCTTTTTATAACAAGATAAAAGTGTGAATTATAGGGTTGCCTGGGTGACTCAGTCAGTTAAGCATCCAGAGTCTTGATTTTGGGTCAGGTCTTGATCTCTCTGTCGTGAGAGCCC